GGAGTATTCGCTCAGCACACAAAATTTGATAAAAGTTCTTTCCTCATCGAAGTTTGACAAAGGAAAGTTGGGATTATAATAGTTTTGTTCACATAAAATGAATCGATATATATATTATAGGTATATGTTTATATTAGGTGTATTAAAAATCAATCGAAACTTTTTCCAATAGATGGCGGTATCTATCTGTATCTCACTTTGTATAAGTCCGATCGGGTTCGGCTGGATGGCGTTAGAAAGATGAAATTTGCACTTAAAATGTTTTTCTGACAGTTTTGGAATTGGTTAATTCAGTTTTGTTGGAGCGCGCGTCACAGATGGACAGAGGGAAATTATCTATATTTTACAGTTTTTCTTCGATAAAGACGAAAACGCAAGCCAGGCGGAAAATGTGAATAACGTTTATGGTCCTGATACTGTAACAGCCAATCATGCGCTATTTTGGTTTCGTCGATTCCGTTCCGGTAATTTCGATGTCAAAGATGCACCACGCTCTGGCAGACCAATTATAAAAAAATCGATGAAATAATGGAAATCGCCTAGTCCAAACATTACGATTGGCCAAGACCTAAACATTGCACGAAAAACTGTTTAGAACCATTTGAAGAAGGCTGGATACGAAAAGTAATATTTAAAGCATTCAATTTCATGCAAAAATAATGGATTTCTTTTTACTAAACCTAATCTTTGTATATACGAGGTGTGTTCAAAGGAAAAGGGGAATTTTGATTTTTCGCGGGCTATGTACATCCAATTATCGATATTTTGTTTTTGTTATAAACGGACACATACATATGTTTATCATGAGTTTGGATTAGGAGCCAATCCCGATTAATAGTTTGTTTTTCGCAACAGAAAAGGTTAGTCACGTTTTTGTGTGCTCTTCGATTTTTGACTTGTGAAAGAAATGGATCAAAGAATATGTATTAAATTTTGCGTTAAAAATGGAACAAAGTGCTCTAAGGCAGTTGAAATGTTTACTGTAGCATTCGGGGAGTCCTCTTTGTTTCAAAAAAGTGTATATAAGTGGTACAAGCGCTTTACAGAAGGCCAGGAAGATGTTGATGACGATGAGCATCCTAGAGGTGCGACCATGTCAACAAGAGAAAAAGACATCGAACAATGAAAAAAATTGTTCTTAAAAAACGTCGAATCACTATTAAGGAAGTTGCAGAGGATGTTAGCATATCAATTGGCTCATGCCATTAAATTTTTTCGAATGTTTTGGGCATGAAACGTATGGCAGCGAAGTTTGTTCCGAAATTGCGATAATGCACCAGCTCACACATCAATGCTTATTCGCAATTTTTTGGTAAAAACAAAACCGTAATCATGCCTCAACTACCGTAATTACCCGATTTGGCTTCCTGCGACCTTTTCCTATTCCCAAAACTGAAGGAACCAATTAAAGCAATGCGTTTTGCCACAATCGATGAGATCAAGTCAGAGTCGAAAAAAGAGCTCTTGGCCGTACCAAAAAGCGCATTTCAGAAGAAAATTAAAATTTCACTTTTTCTTTTGAACATACCTCGAATATATATTTATAAGTGTTCAGGATGATGAGACGAGTTGAAATCCAAGTGACTTTCTGTCCGTCCTTCCGTCCGTCTGTGCAAGCTGTAACTTGAGTAAAAATTGAGATATCTTGATGAAACTTGGTATACACGTTTCTTGACATCAGATGGGCGTAATCGGACCATTGCCACTCCACAAAACGGCAATAATTAAAAACTTATAAAGTGCCATAGCTAAATTCCACAGATACAAGACTGTTATTTGGTACAACGAATTTAATTAGCTAAGGGCATCTGCGGTAAACAAATCTTTGAAAAAAATATTTAATGTAGTGTATATCTCCGAAAAGACTAGAGCCATATCAACCAAATTTACTGAAAACAAGTTTTTCGATATTGCTTTCGATAGTGAGAAAATGGATGAAATCGGATATTACCTCGCCCATTCCAAATTTTGTTAAAAAATCTAGTATCTAAGTGCGATAAATCATTAAAAAGTGCGATAGAAATATACAATTTAACACCCAATTTTAGGTGAAATGCGTGTTTTTCTTATATCTATAGGTGCATCTTTACACCCAAAATGGATAAAATCGGCTGAAAACTTGCCCTAGCTAGTATAAATGGGTAGTTAGTGCGTGAGTTATTTATTTATAAAAATGTGTTCTCGAGTATAAAGGTTAATGCAACAAGCCCAAACCTTTCTCTGCCCTCGATATATCCCGTATAGTGATTATCGACCTGCCAGCTTTCATTTTGGTTGGTCAAAACGTGTGACATTTTAATGAAATGATTTGGCACTGAATATTAATGGAGTTGGTCTAAGCGTCGTATCCTTAATATAATGAAATCTGATCCTCTGGTTGACGTTTTCACATCAACTCAATATATTATATTAAGTTTACTCTCTTCGGTTGAATTTTTATCACATATATCTCATTTGAAGATGCTTTGAATACATTTTTAGCTGACGCCAATTAAAATATAGCAATAAAACCAAGAGAGTCTAATATAACTTAATAGAAACCAAATTTGATTCTAATTCATTTACAATTTTGTCGAATAATGAATGTTGAATTCTTTCGCAACATTTTTATACTCTTGCCACATGTTGCTACAGAGCAAAATAATTTTGTTTACCTAACAGTTGTTGGTAAAACCTAAAACTAATTCGCAAAACTGGATGAAATTGGATGATTACCCGGCCAACGCCAATTAAAGGTTCTGTTAAAAACTACAAAAAGCGAGAAAAATCAATAAATAAACTCAGAAACATAAAATTTTACACCCGAGATCATAGTAGAGGGCTTTATAGGTGCCGCTGTCAAAATCACCGCTCATATCTAGGTAAAAATCCATATATCGAGACCTGCTCGGTGGGTAGAATTATTCTGGCATTCCTATGTAGCAGTTCGAAAATGGGCGAAATCGGACTGCAACCTTTTTTTCCTTTCCAGTATACAAATGAAGCACGAATGCATATATCGAGGTAAAACCTTGCACAAACAGTCCCTTTAAAGTATGCCATCTCAAGAGACCTAGACCGAAAATATCGGTTAATGTGTGAGATATATATTTTAAAAACATGGAGAATTTTTTCCTGATAATAATGTGCCTATATGCCAAAAATTATACAATATACCGAATAGAAAGATTTTCGAACATCCGGCTGACTTTATACATCATATATCTTTTCTTTTTCTTAAGTTGGCACATCTGTCATGAGAACAAATGCAAAGTTACATTCTGTCAATTAATTCTTTGTTACAAACCATTTGAAGTTTACATGTCTGAATATTTTTTTATTGTGAAAAAATTTAATATCGCGCAGTGATTAGATTCTTTGTTTTAAAAGCTTTAAAAGCAATTGAAATTTATGAACAATTGTTAGAAGTGTATTAGCAGTCCTCACCTTCAAAACGCACCATTGAATTTTGAGCTGGTCAATTTAAACGTGTCATACTAAACTTGAAGACGGTCCACGCGAACGACGATCAAAAACCGCAACTACACCAGAAATCATTGAGCAATTTCATAATATTGTTAGTGAAGATCCAAGTTTGACTAAGCGTGAAATTGCTAATGCCATAGGCATCTGAGACGAACGAGTACTTCATATTTTAAATGGAGAATTACATATGAAAAAGCGGTTTGGAAAGTTAGTGCCGCATACGTTATCAATTCAACAAAAACTGGATCGAAAATAAATTTCTCAGCATAATTTGATGACTCTACCACCATGATCATAAATTGAAACAAGAACGTTTACAGTGGACTGAAGCTGGTTGTTTAGCTCCAAAGCAGGGGAAGTCACAACGATCAGCAAAGAAAGTTATTGCATCAGTGTTTTGAGATGCAAAAGGAATTTTGTTGATTGATTATCTACAGAAAGGTAAGACAATCAACCCTAAATATTATTGCAGAATTTTGGATCAGCTGGATAAAAAAATTCGTGAGAAAAGACCTGGCTTGCAGCACAAAAAAATCATTTTTCATCAAGACAATGCACCTGCTCACAAAGCTGTTTTAATAACCACAAAATTCAACGAATTAAAGTACGAATTGCTTGAGCATCCACCGTATTCACCAGATTTGGCTCCAAGCGACTACTGCCTCTGAAACAATTCCTTCGTGGAAAGCGTTTTTCGTCGAATGAAAAAGCTATTACAGCTGTATACGGGCATTTTGCAGAGCTTCCGGAAAGTCATTATAGGGATGGCATAAAATTGTTGGAGGATCATTGGAATAAGTGTATTGAAGTGAAGGGAGATTATATTGAATTAAAAAAAATTTTTTTGTACCAAAAACAGTATTTTTTCATACCGAGATGCAGAAACTTTTCAACCAACCTGTACAACACCTATCGCCCATATACCTAATAAAAGATTTTCAAACTTGTGGTTGGTCTTTTACTGTATATATCGGTCAATATGAAAGATATCTTAGCAAAATTAAATGAACGTATAATATTAGATATACTTATATATTATATTATAATCATATAATCATTTTCGTTGTTCTTACAATCCTGATTATATTAATGGTTTAGCGCTGAGCATTAATGGAGTTGGTCTAGACCTTGGTCTTAATCTCATATTCCTAATATTATATCATCAATTCTGATCTTATGGTTGAAATTTTACACATCAACTCAATTAAATTTAGCCTCTTCGGTTAAGTTTATGTCGATATATCCCATTTGAGGGTTATTTTGACTGAAAGTATTTCAACGGCTTTGATCCTTGCAAGTTGGAAGCATAGAAAATGTTCGGTTATGTACGAACTTAGCCCTTCCTTACTTGTTGAATATAAGGACCAACACCTGATGATATTTTACCGGCTTTAATCCTTGCAGGTTGCAAGAGTATAAAATGTTACACCCGAACTTAGTCCTTCCATACTTGTTTATTATAAAGTCTGAAATTACATACGTGTTTTTGTAATATTCGTTGTCTAATGCTCTAGTTTTGCTTGTGATTTTTATAGCAACTTCGGCGTGGCCATTGACAAATACTAGAGTTAACATCGATTTCAACTCCACAGCCATGGAAAAACTCGGGTCAATATTACCTTTAGCATCATTACCGGTAGGAGTAGCGTCTGCTGAAACGACGCCAACAACATTCACTGCATCATCGTTTTACAGCAATTCATATAACACGCCAATTACTAGAAGAGTAATTACAAACGGCGCGTTAGATGAAGACAAAGCTAGCACAAGTGCGATGGGCATTACGAGTTATAATTCAAATGGGTCGTGGACGATTTTGTCGTCAACGACAAAATTGAATTCATTTACAAGTACCAGCCAGCTACCTTTCGATTATACACTAACCAAGAAATGGACTTCGGGTAAGTCGGCCAAGTCAAAGCAATTTTATTTCAAAATTACAGTTATACTTAAAGTTTTCGAACAATAGCTAAATTCTTATGAATTGTAATCGATTTGTTGTTTTTGTGTTTACGGAAGCAGAAAATTATAAAGATTTACTCAAAATAATATCATTAAGAAAAATTTTATGGTCAGGGAACCTAAACGGAAACATAGTGTCATTACGTTTTGCTATGCTCATTAAATAATAATATCTTCTTCAAGGGCAATACAGATAAAAAAAAAATGGTTATAGGAGATTATTTCGACCGATTTCATCCAGTTTATATATATAGTACATAAAGTTTGCTGAAACCTCTTTTATTCTGATTCAACCCGAAGACAAATATATCATTTAGATCCCAATTTTTCATTTCTGACGCAGTTGTTCAGATAGTTATTTCACTTTAAGTAGTTCCAAATAATCTAATTATTCACCAAGCTTTTTGCAGCAATAAAACTTTATTGTAGGCGTAGCATTAAATTTATTAGAAAGTGAAGCATGACACCAAAATACCGATGATCAATACAATGTTAGTATTTTGTATCTTTACCACATATACGGACGAATTAAAACTACTAAGGAAATCCTCAAACTGCTATGGTTACTAAATATATAATTATTGCTAAATATATAAGGAAAACGCATAAACTTTGTAGCAAACTTATAAGTTAATTTTGAAACACAAAATAGTCATTGGCAACAACATTTGCAATTGTAAGAGAACTATGTACAGTGATTATTAATAATTCTAAATTTCTTTCTACTTTTTGCATATTTTTCTATGCAGACTTTCTCATTGAAAATTTTAGAATTTACATTTCCATTTTCTTCAATTGTAATATGAGTGTAATAATTTAAATTATTTTTCTCCAATCAGACGCTGTTAGCTTTCGTGCTTCATCTCCGATGGTCTCGGAAACATCGATGGCGGCTACTCCGGCGGAAAAATCGCGAACGTTTCGCAACAAACACCATCACGAACATCATTGGGGTCCGTTTTTTGAAGAACCCCTTAACTCAACAGCGTCAGGCGAGAATGTCGTCTCTACTGCGCATTTATATACGGAAGCTGTGCTTAATTGCAGAGTGGGGATGCTAAAAGATAAAACAGTAAGTGTCAATACTACTGGATATTTAATTGTCTGTTAATTCTAAATATAACTGAGCTACAAATGTAAATATGTATTTCTTTAATTTTTCCAAATTTACAAGCTTACCGTATAAAAAATACATTAAGCATTACGAATTAGCAAAAACTTGTAAATTTTATTATTATTTAACTAATCATAAAATATACATTTTACATTTATGATTGTTACTATACACGTGATGTACTTTTTGATTATTCTCACACAACTAGTAAGTAGAAACGAGCTAAATTTCATTTTTGTTCAATCAACCTTTCTTATGACGTTAGAGAATTTGGTTAAAATTAGTGCCGTGGCATTAGAGAGTTTACATTGATTCATTAGGCTTAATATATTATTAATTAGCTAGTTCGTTTCCAATCAAAACCAATCATCATATCAGTGGAAAACATGGACCAATGTCACTCATTTATTTTACCATGTTTAACCTATTTATACATCTGTATACAACTAATAAGGGAAACATATTTTTAAACGTGCTTGGTATTATTTTGATATCTTTGTTGTTACTCAAGCTGTGTATGTCTAAATACATTATATTATTATATATTATATATTATTTTGGCGGTTTGACAGAGCTGTTGTCATTTGCACACAAATTTTGAAGGGGCAACATGTACATGCATAGGTATAGCATGATATCAGCAAAGACGAAATGTTTTATTTTTTTTTTGCGTAAACTGTAAATATCTTTGCTTCTATTTCATTATTGAATTGATAAATAAACTTTTTGCAACAATTATTTAAGTCTTAAAATATGAAATTTTTTTTTTTCCAAAAAATACATTTGTAGAAAAAAAAATTGTTGTCATACTCATAAAATTGTTAAGCGGTTCAAGAACGCAAACATGTGCTATACCAGCTCGAACATACCTACCCGACGTCATTTTGAGAATGATTATTTCATGATAGCAAATGCCCACACAAGAACATTGCTTACCTCAATGGCAATGTACGAGGTGTGTTCAAAGGAAAAGGTGAATTTTGATTTTCCGCGGGCTGAATACATTTGATTATCGATATTTTGCTTTTGTTATAATCGGACATTGCATTAGGAGCCAATTTTGATTAGTAGTTTGTTTTTGGCAACATAAAAGGTTAGTCACGCTTTTGTGGGCTCTTCGATTTTTAAAAGAAATGGATCAAAGAATATGTATTAAATTTGGGGTTAAAAATGGAACAAAGTGCTCCAAGACACTTGAAATGACTGTAGCATTCAGTAAGACCACCTTGTCTTAAAAAAGTGTTTATAAGTGGTACAAGGGCTTTACAGAAGGCCGAGGAGATGTTGATGACGATGAGCATATTGGAGGTGTGACCACGTCAACAAGCGAAGAAAGCATTCGGCGTTAGTTAGTTGCCTGATTAAAACTCAATTTACTTTGAGATATTTTTAATACTTTACGAGATATATTACACAAAACCTATTGTAGAACAGGTCATGACCACTTTTAAAAATATTTAAAACCATACATACCATTCCCTCGTGGTGAGCCCATAACTTAATTAGTCCTTTATTCTTTTTCAATAATACCTCATTTCGGTACAATAGTACAATTTCACCCATACACAATAGTATCCTACCAGAGTATCCGGAAGCAAAACTATTACACTCTCTTCAATATGTATGGAAGTATCAAAAATAGTATACAAATATTTTTTATTTGCATCTCCTGTCGAAAAATGGTAGATTCGTTAGAGCATACAAACTTTTACCCAAGTAAGTAAATATAAGTATGTGTATACTCGTACATGCATTGGAACATACTCATGCATAACATACGAGCGTTTTTGCATTCAAAAAGTCTGCATAAGAAACTATTAAATTTAGCTGAAAGCATGATCATAGCTCACTTGAAACACTTCACAAAGTTGGGTAGCTTTAATTCGAAGCAACAGGACACTAACATAGATTTCACATGGAGCTCAGGCGGACGGTGTACTTTAATTTGTTTCATTTTTATATATGCAGTATTTTTACTCCAAAGTGATAGCGCAGTTTTACAACATTTCCATGATAAGTGCCATAAACAAATCTAGGAATATACCTTTTGAGAAGAAAGAAAGAACTTGTTCTTATAACTTTTGGAACTTTGTCAAGCTTCCGAGAACTTTCGTATTGACACCCATAAACTCAAAAATGCATATGCAGGTACATAAGTACATAGAGTCATGTATAGGTGAGTTGTTCTGGGAATTAAAGGTATTTCAGTTTCTCTAAATAGCTTTTAATATAAATTTTTTCACATGCTACAAGTAGAAACTTAATTCAACGTGCATTAGTGCTACTGTAATGACGCTGCGATGGATTAAAACAACTAGGTAGTTAACCCACAAAAATATGAAATTGTGATTTGGTGCACGGAGTCACAGTAGGAATGTTTAAAAGTTTTTAAAAATAAGGAGTGTTTACAAGCATGTCATTCAAACTCGCTGGGAACAAGCAGCATTTCCAGATACTTCCAGACAGTGGAAAAAATGGAATGGTATAAAGGTTATGTTCACAAGTAAGGAAGGCCTAAGGGTATAACCCATCAATTAATACTATTGTTACTTGTAAGGATCAAAGCAGGGAAAATCCCTTCAGATGTTAGGAAAACTTTATATTCAAAAATGTTGGGACACAACACAACATTCATTATTCGATGAAATTGTAAATGGATTACAATCAAATTTCTTATTTTATTAAGTTATATTATAAGTCATTGACTTACTTAGTTTTATTACTATATTTTACTTCTCGTCAGCAAAATGTGTATTGTCGTCAGCAAAATTGTATATACTGTAAGCAGAAAATCGCGATTCATTATTTTAGGGATATAAGGTTTGGATCAATGTCTAGACCAATTTCATATAAGTCATAGACTTACTTAGTTCATATTCCCACACAATTTTTAAGAAAACTTGTTTATTTAATTTTATTTATCAATTTATATATTATTTCGAAAATCAATTTATATAGTATTTGGGAGTTGGGGTAATTCGTAGACTAAATTCACATATTTTCGGCATTAAACTATAGTATATCAAATAATATACGTTGAACTACTTGTATAGCATATCCAAAAATGAATATTGGTAAGATATCTTACATATTGACTGATATATATAGCATAAGGTCAACCGGAAGTTCGAAAATCTTATGTTAGGCATATTAGAGATAAGGGAAGTATTGTCCCGATTTTATCTATTTTTGGCAATACAGCTTACTACTACAGAAAAAAACGCTTCCTGAGTTTCATTAACACCTCACATACCGTCACCAACCAGATGTTTGAAAATTCTGTGATTAGTTATATGGGCACCAGGGTAAGTTTCCACTCGATTTTACTTATATTAGGCACAAAGATACACTGTTATTAGAAAAATAAGCCCTCTCATTTTTATTGAGATAACTCACATATATGCGGTCTAAAGTCACCCTGAAGTTAGAAAGTCTTTATATTTATTATTCAACTATAGGCATTATGGTCCACATATTTGGTACGAAAGGTCTTGAACAGTTTTAGTTCGATTTGGTTAAAAGGTGGCACACTTTAGAGGTATTATGTGAAAGAATCAGATGGAATTTATAATATAGTACGAATGTTATGTAATAAATTTGGTTGAAATCGGTCGAGCAGGTCCCGAGTGCCACGCCCAATGTCTCTGCCGCATTTAGTTATTGATTTATCACACTTTTAGTAGTTTTTAACAAAATCGATATATGGGGAGCGGGCGGAGTTATTATTCGATTGTACACTATCGTAAGAAGGGTTGAAGGTATTTGTTATGTGCAAATTTGGGTGATGTAGCTTTATTAGTTATGGACATATACATTAAACTTGATAGGGGGCGGAGCCACGCCCATTTTTTCAAGATTTTCTAACCACATGTGCCCTCCTTATTTGCCTATCAAAGGAAAACAAAAAAAAGAAAAAACAGAAACCAGAAAAAAAGACTATTGTGAGCTTTGCAATTTGAAATGATGTTTTTTCATTGAGTTATAAAATGCAAAATAAAAACACAAATTTTCCTTAAAATAGTCAAATTTCAACCGTTAATATCTTTTAAACGGTTAGGTTTATGAAAAAACTATTTTGTAGAGCATTCGATTTCCAACAATTTTCATAAAATCATATATTTCTTCTAGTACCTGGAAGCGGGATATGAATCTTTCCATCCGATCATAAGAAAAAAAATAGACAACGGTAAAGCGGAGGACCTTCCCTATACAATTAAGAATTAATACTTAGAGAGCGTTTCTTAAAAGTTTCTTCAAACGAATTTTTCGGAAAACCAAGCGAAAAAAACACTTTACACCCTAATATACGATGTGTGTTCAAAGGAAAGTTTTTAAGTACTTATTTAGTAATCAATATCTACCCCTTAAAAGTAATTTCCCTCGGATATAATACACTTGTGCCAACGCTTCTTCCAATTCTCGATGTATTTCTAAAATGAGCTTTTCGGTATGGCCGTCAGCTCTTTCTTCGATTCTGACTTGATCTCACGAATTGTGGCAAAACGCTTTCTTTTCATTGGTTTCTTCAGTTTTGGAAAAAGGAAAAAATCACAGGGAGCCAAATCTGGGGAAACAAACTACTAATCGGCTCCTAATGCAAGCACATAATAAACATATGTGTACGATTATAACAAAATATATATACTCGAATGTATACAGTCCGCGAAAAATCAAATCACCTTTTCCTTTGAACAAACCTCGTACATATATAAAGTGAAGTCAGCTGGATGTTTCAAATTACTAAATATCAGTTAATTAGGGGCTAAGGCAAGTTTTCGCCTGATTTTATCCATTTTAGTCAAAAAGATACAATGCTATTAAAAAAATGCGCTCTCTCAATTTCATTAAAATAACGCCCACATTGGTCGCTATATGTGGTATAAAGTCAACTGGAAGTTCGAAAATCTTTATATCTATTAGGTATAAGGGATATCAACCCATTGTTGATATAAGGGTAT